TTTTCTCCCTGCCTCAGAGATTTTCTGATGCCTTTTTAGATTCCTGGTTTTCCATTAATCCTCATGGCTCTTACGCAACCGTTTTTTTCATTCCGCCATTTCCAACTCTTCTCTCACCCTGATGGTCTCTTACCTCCAGGTCATATTTGGCCATAATTGCCTTTGACTTTGCCCATTTTCCACTGTTTTGGTGTTTAAGGCTCATTCGCTCCTGAAAAGAAAGGGCAGAGTAAGATCCTTATTGCTTTCTGGGGAAAGTTGGTTCAAGGAGTAGGGCAAGAGGCAGCCTCACCATCATTCTGGCTTTTTCAAGTTTTTCCAGTTCTTCCAGAGCTGCAGTAGGATTGACCTTTCGTAGCTTCTCAAAGTCTTTTAGGGCTTTCTTGGCCTTTCCTTTCTTCAGAACTTTGTGATACCTATAGCGCAATGAGAGTGGTACAAAGGAAGAGACTTAGCAGAAACACGGATGCCATATACAATAGTGTCCCCACTATCCAAGGGGATTCCCTGTGCAGTGGCTAAAATGGATGTTGCAGAGCTAGCTGACTGGAGAGAACCATTCCCTGCAGCCTCCGGGGGCAGACCTCTACAGAGCAAAGAGTCCTTCTGCTTCTATAGCACAAGGGAAGAGTATAACGAGTTCCAAAGAGGCTAAAAGGCAGGAAGGAAGCCTTGCTGGCCTCAATAGCTATAGAATTCAGAGCTCATTCTGCAGAATCTCTCCATCATGCCCTGGAAAGGAAAGAAAGTAATTGAGCAGTCCTCTTTTCAGCAAAACCAAGACAGAAAGCCAAATCCAGAGGACAGGGCACTACTGAAGCAGGCAAACCTCTATGAGGTTGGTCTGAGTTAAAAAAAAGGCTAGTCACCACTATTTGGGACCTCTTCCATATGATCTCAATTGCCATGTCAAAGATTCTTTCCTGGGGACTTGTGATTAGCCAACCTCACTTTCTTTTGTGGAACCCAAGCCCAGTTCACAGGGGTTTTCTTACTTTTTGCTTTTGATTTTCTTCTCTCTTCGAGCCTTGGCCTCATAGTAGGACTGCAGGGCCCGAGCCTTCTGAAGCTCTGCTCGGCGCACCTTAGCCTACAAAGAATGACATTTACAGTGACTCCAGGGTTGAAGGCAAATGCTGAGAGAAACAGCATGCCTGGGTATACCAAAGGGCCTATCATACTTACCTCTTCTAGGCTCATGGCATTGAGAGAGGCCTTTTCCACGGGAGTCAGTAAAGGGTCTGTCACTGGCTGCTTGTTCTTATGGAGGAGGTTAAAAACTTCTCGCTCCAGGGGAGTTCTTGCCTTAAGGAGGTAACAGAACATTCTGAGTCTTAAGCTATGGTCCTACAGTCTTTTTAGTCCTATGGCCATCTATTGTGACACTATAATTGGAATCACTAAACTAGACAGGATTGGCTGTTACAGTAAGAGAAAGAGTACCAGGTTTGCTGCCCAGCTGTGCAGATAAAGCCTTATTTTATTCTGATTTAAGACAACTTCAGCAAGGGGGCTCTGAGGCTACTCTCTAATATTACTGAGGGGATCACTCTGTTCAGATTATCAATATATATAACACAGAATGCCATTCTCTTAATAATTGAAGCAGGATGCCCTTAAGGTAAATGCTGACAGGACAGAGGAAGAGCAGTACCAAATGTCAGTTTTGATAGCTGCAAAAAAATGGTCCCTGTGTTGTTATTTACACTGTATAGTTAGGAATCTTAGATTCATATAAGCCTCCTTTTAAAAATATTTCTAGAGGAAAGGGGAGACTAAGTCTTAGGATGAGCACAAAAAGACACTGCCTTTAAAAATATGACCTTCATCTAATTAGCCTGCTTTCTGACAGTTTAAGTTTAACTCTAGTCCTGTTCTAACTTTGGCTCTAATTCCTCAGTTTCCAGTTAACTCTGCATGCTAGGTAGTTATCTATGCATATGAAATGAATGGACTGTGAACCAATTACTTCACATGTCAACCAAACACCTCATTTGCTGCTTGACTGATAGTGTGAGGATGGCTGAAATAATCAGGCTGATCATGCCATGGTCCACTTTGGCAAGGTACAAAGATAGCCCTAGGCAACAGAGCCTGTTTCAAACCTCACACACATATTACATGTGGTTTTCTTCAACAGCCATATACATCATGGTCAGTATCAAATTTACAAATACCTGGACAAATGCATTAACACACATCATCATATGTTACACAGTGCTATTGATTTAACCATAAGCCTATTCTATTGAATAATAAAGGTACATGTTCTTTCATTTTTAGTATTTGCAGTAGTGATCAATCACAGGCTACAAAATGATTTATATTACAATGTTGTAATCTCCCTCCAATTCAATTCAATTTACAAACATTTATTGATTGCAGCTACATTCCAGTTACTTGTGCAGGGTGCTGGAATACACGATTGATTAAGATCATTCCTGTCCTCATAGAGCTCATAGCCTTTCAGAGGAAAGAGACACATGTACCACTAACAACATAATGGGTTAAATGTTAGTCCAGAGGAGTAATCACAGAGAAAGGATTACATCCTTCTGATTAATTCTGATTAGAAGGTGGGTTAGCCTTGGGGAAGGAAGACACTTGAGTTAAGCTTTGAGGTGTAAGTCCGATAAGGAGGGGGCCAAAATGAGAGATAAACATAAACAAAAACAGATATATAGAAAGGAGAGGTGTGTAAGGGAACAGTGTGTTGTCCAGTGCAGCTAAAATGCTAGGTGCTTCTGCGTCACTAAGTGGAGCACCTTTTGAAAGATTTTAAGCAGAAGAGTGAGTTTTATGTTTCAGAAAGAAAATCCCGGTGATTGTGTAAGGGGATATATGTAAATAAAGTACCAAATGAAAGGTGAACATGAAAAGAAGAGGAACTAGGGATCTGAAAGCTATTACATGGAAAAAATTTACAAACTAGCCCACTGTCTGGCTGGGAAGGGGTGGCAGTTAACAGGAGAAGGAGAAATCAGATGGCTGAGGTTTCCAACCTAAGTGATTGGGGTATGGAGTTATGTTGTTGACTGAGTTATAGAATGAAGGTAGTGGTACAGAGTTTGGAAGTCTGGGAAGGAAAATGCCAGGCTTACTTTGTTGTGTATGAAGTTTAAGGTACATAGTGGAGACCCAGGCAAGGCCTGCTAGTTATATGTCATCTGGGACTGGAGCTCAGAAGGGTTTGAGAGTGAACTGTAGAATATATAGGTGATAGTCAAATGTCACAGAATTTACAGAGCAAGAATAAAATGAACTAAGAAAAGTCTGATGCTTGGGATGCGGTAACTGGGAGGACCCTCACTA